GGTCTAGCACAAGCCATGAGGCACACATTGGGGTGCTGGGGGGGTCCCCGAGCTGTGCACATCAAGGGTGGAACCCACAGGGCACATTCCTTGTGTCCCTGGGGCAGGTAGGGAGCTCTGGGGCTTGTGCGTGGGGCTGGGGTTGTGTGTCCCCCCCGTCAATCCCCAAAGCGGGGTGCCGGGGGGTGGGGATGCGGCCGTGCCCCACGGTGCCCCGTGCCCGCAGTGGCCCTACTGCCGCAAGCGCTGCTCCTACTACAACTTCAACAAGTACGTGGTGCCGGTGGTGGACGAGGTGGCCGTGGGCTCCTGCCTGGTGCGGGAGGCTCGCACCCTGCTCCGCCTCAGCCAGGTGCAGAGGTGGGTGCTCGGGGCAGGGGGTGAGATTTTGGGGGGGGTAAGGGGGCCTTTGGTGCCCACCTGCAGCTTCCCCGCTCTCCACCTTCCAGCGTCACCTCCGTCTTCTTTGGTGGGGGCACCCCCAGCCTGGCCAGCCCCGGTACGGTGGCGGCGGTGCTGGAGGCCATCGCGGGGGCTGCCCACCTCCCCGCCGACGCCGAGGTGACGCTGGAGGCCAACCCCAGCTCTGCCAGCCCCCAGCGCCTCCAGGGCTTCAGGGCGGCCGGCGTCAACCGCCTCTCCATCGGCGTCCAGGTGAGAGGGGCTCTGTCACATCCCACCCCGTCCCCTGCAACCCCCGCCATGTCCCCCACTGCCCCTGTGCTCCCTCCGCAGTCGCTGGATGATGCCGAGCTGCGGCTGCTGGGCCGGGAGCACACGGCGGCGGAGGCACGGGGGGCTGTGGAGGCGGCGCGGGGGCTCTTCCCCGGCCGGACCTCCATCGACCTCATCTTTGGGCTGCCGGGGCAAAGCCGGGACGCCTGGTCCCAGGGACTGGAGGCGGCGCTGGGGCTCTGCGACGACCACCTCTCCCTCTACCAGCTGACGCTGGAGCGGGGCACGGCGCTGGCGGCGCGGGTTTTCGGGGGGGACCTGCCCACCCCCTCCCAGGACCTCGTGGCTGACATGTACCACACCGCCTGCGCCGCGCTGCTGTCGGCCGGCTTCCGACACTACGAGGTCTCCAATTTTGCAAGGAAGGTGGGGTGTTGTTCCCCTCACCCCCCCCCACGCCATGGCACCCCCTCCAGCGGGCTTAGCCCCTCCTCACCCCACGCACCGCTCCCCCCAGGGCGCCCTCAGCACCCACAACCTCTCCTACTGGCAGGCTGAGCAGTACATCGGCGTGGGACCGGGTAAGCCGAGGTGACAAGGGGGTGTGCGTGGCCACGTGTGCCCCCCTGCACCCCATTTTTGTGTTGTTCTCCCCCCCATATGCCACCGTAGGGGCGCACGGGCGGTTCGTGCCGTGGGGTGAAGGCGGCTGCAGGCGGGAGGCCCGTGTCCAGACGCTGGAGCCTGACGCCTGGATGTGGGAGGTGCAGAGCCAGGGCCATGGCACCCGGCGGCGGGTGGTGCTGAGCCCGCTGGAGCAGTGAGTAGGGGGGCTCTGCCTGCGTCCCAGTGCCCCTTCCCCTGCTGGGCTGCCCCCCAGCTCTCCCTGTGCCCGCAGGCTGGAGGAGGTGCTGGTCCTGGGGCTGCGTACGGACGAGGGTGTTCCACACGAGGTGAGGAGCAGCGTCGGGGGGGAATGGACACCCACCCACCCA